CCTTCCCCGCCTAAGTTCTCCCCCAACCATTTTCACTAATAATTCAGTTGCCCCAGCGCGTACATGTGGATACATATGCATGCATGCATACGTACGCGCACACGCACGCACACACGCATGCGCGCACAGACACGCACGCATGTAGACGTCAGTTCAACAAAAGGCCGCAACATTGGGGCCTCGAGATTACGACGCAAGGTTTGAATGATGCAGTGCCCCGTGCCATCTCTAAATCTCTGCAACCATAATTACTCAACACCCTAAACAACCCCCTACACCTCATGTTGGATCTAACATACAATAGCCGAGTTATGTGCCTGTAACGCATGCGTCTGTACACAAAAAATTGAAGCTTGTGTTATCATATTCCTTTTACCTAAGTTTCCTTTAGAATTTTCTTTTGGGGCTCATGGAGCCAGACGGTCCAGAAGCTTTGCCACTGCGCGGTGTCGGAACTTCACTGACGAAGTTATGGAGCAATGCAATGGCGAGAGTTTTCGGGTCTAGGGTTTACTTTGTAGAGATTCAGGTGTTACGGAGGAACAGCTTGAAACATCTTGAAAACTTAAGCTACAAGGTAGAATACTTGCGAGGATCATGATATTGAGGCCCCCTTTTAATTACAAGGCAGAGCAGTCTCGGGATTTAACCTTCGCGGCTGTCTCAGGTGCTGCTCTTCGCGAACCCGCTGATCAAGTGAGCAGGATGTCGCTGATCTGGAGCAAGTTCTCCCAGGGTGAAGCAGGGAGTTTTCAGCAGATCTATCTCTTAGTTTATCTGAAGACGACCAGATCGAGTTCTATTCTCGAGATTCAGGCCTGTGGATCATGAAATCTGAACCGCTGCTCACCCGCCGAAATCGTCTTAGCCCGAGAAGAAAGATGACAAGAGAGCTCGAGCTCAAAGGAACTCCGGTATTCTCGTGCCGGGGTTTAGGGTTTTAGGGTTTAGGGTTTTAAGGTTTAAGGGTTTAGGGTTTAGGGTTTAGGGTTAGGGTTGCCTTAAGGGCCCTTTCAGGGGTTCCCTTTAAGGAGTTCTGCAGGGCCGAGGCGCTTCGTGGATTTTTTTCGGGGTTCACGGGCTTTCTGGTCTAAGGTGGGGTTGAAACGCTTAGGGGTTTGGTAAGGACGTAGGCATGATGAGCCCGAAATAGCCCGAAACTAGGGGATAGTTTCGAGTGTGCGGGAGTGGTTGTGTCATGGCAGTACGGCTGCTTGAAGTTTGTAGTCTGGAAAACCCCCGTTCCTGGGGCCCCAAGTTAAAATATTGTTGAACATCGCTGCTTTTAGCTCGGAACTTTTCACCCTAAGGTTGAACCTCGGATCCTGAATCTCCCACCGCTTCAAACACCAATGCCGTTGGCCCGAGCTTCAGTTTTTCCCCGCCGCATTGATCCAGTGTCCTGCACCTTTTCCCGACTCATCTCAAGACGCCTCGCTGCAAGACATGTAGGGATTTTGGCCTGCGATTGTCTCACCACCTTGGGGCAGTTGTAAGTCGGTTACTAGGTTAACGATCATTATAGCGCATATCTGGGGACTTACAGCCCCAGTTACAACTACCCATGAACCTCCAAGGCAGACTCCAAGATCATCTCAGCCGCCTTGAGTAGTGGAGAAGATAGACGGTAACAGGTGTTTTGTAGGAACCTGATTAAGAAACCCTGGCGCTATAACCCCAATATATTAGGATTGAACCCCAATAAAGACCCAGGGTTTCTTAATCTGGTTCCTATATCGTGACTCGAATTTGGATGTGTTTTTTTAGGACCTGGGGTCGGAGGCGGAAAGGCAGTGTGGCGACTTTAACAAACAGTTTCGGGGTTAAGGTTTTAGGGTTTTAGGGTTTAGGGTTTTAGGGTTTAGGTTTTATGGTCCATGGATGTTTAGCTCCACGAAGACGACTCTCACTGCCACTGTCATCTTTGAGGGATCTTCGAACAAATTGCAGATTCTGTAGGCAAGGAAACCCTAAACCCCTAAACCCCTAAGCCCTAAACCCCAAACCCCTAAACTCCACCACCCTAAACCCTAAACCCTAAACTCCACCGCCCTAAACCCTATAGCTTGAGCCCCGAAAGCCAGCTACAGCCGCGATGGCGGTTTAGAATTAGCTCTGAGCTCTCAGCTCCGGGGAATACTGGAGGGCCCGGGAGGTTTCGAAGGTAGCAGACATGCAACTTTAGGGTGTAGGGTTTAGGGCAACTACTACTGCTACTACTACTACTACCACCACTACTACTACTACTACTACTACTACTACTAGTACTACTACTACCACCCCCAACTCACACTTAAGTTACCAAGAGTGTTTTTCAGGGGTTCCTTCTTCTCCTGCTACCAAAATATCCCCCCCAAGCCCGGTTCTAAGAGAGCCCCGACTGCTTGATTAAAGCCTTGATGATAGAAGCCCGGCCTCATAACCCTAAACCCCAAACCCCAAACCCCTAAACCCTCAGGCACATGTGAGAACCCCTAAGTCCTCATCCACAGACCCTGGGGCCCAACTCGTCCCCAAGGAGTTAAGGGTTTAGGGTTCAGGGTTTAAGATTTAGGGTTTAGGAGGGTTTAGGGTTTAGGCTCTAAATAGCAGGATCCATGCTCTACCGCAGGGTTGCCTCTTGGTTCTCCTTGCTACAAGGGCCACATAAACCCCTTAACTAAGCCTTAACCCTAAAACACAAAGCCCCAAAAACCCATTTTTTAAGGCCTGATAAGCAATAAACCCTAAACCCTGAACCCTAAACCCTGAACCCTGAACCCCAAACCCTAAACCCTATGGTAAGCCCTAAATAGTATGATGGTTGTGACACGGGCCCTTCGACTGACCCTTTTCTCATGACTAGGGAACCCTAAACCCTAATCCCCTAAACCCCTAAGCCCTAAACGTCCCATGCAATCGCCCTTTGGGGTTTGTAACGTCTGTGTTCCTATAGACCCTCCATCTACCCTCTAAGGACTCTAAATACCCGTAATTTGGCACCAGATACCCCTGTTTAAAGGTACTTGGAGGGTCCTGTTTTAAGGCACCTTCTATTCTCATGAGGCCTCCTCTACCGTGCCTAAACCCTTAAGATCCCGATACTATAAACCCTTAAGAGAGACTAAACCCAAAAAACCCTATACCCTAAACCCTCCGGTTTAACAAACCGAACCCTAATCCCTAGAAGCCCTCATGAGATCCTAAACCCTAGCCCGTTAAGGAATATACCTTAAAATTGTAGGGGCCTTAATATTGTGATTTAAGCTACATTCCCTAATTAAGGGGTATTGGGCTTTCTAGGATACTCGAAGCCCTCAAGAGATCCAAGGGATGGCCCGCTCCCTCATCTTCACTTCCGCCGTGCTCCTTTGCAGTGGTCCATGCCCTAAAAGCGGTCCTGGGTTCTTGTCAGATAGCAATGATCGTACTAGTCATGAAGCATAACAGTCATGGTATCATGTTTTTTATATTTCTATGCGTGGTCGCTGTTGTTGTTGTTGTTCTTGTTCTTCTTCTTCTTCTTGTTTGAGGGCTTCTGTCTGGGAGTTGATGATTTTTCGAACTTGATGCTGAGGGCAAGTTGATGGCTCCAGGGGGTTTGAGGTTGAGGAATGCGTATGGCTGCGCACGATCATGGTGAAGAACATGTCCCTAAACCCTCTAAACCCTAAGCCCCAAACCCTATAAACCCTAAAGAGCGAACGCGCAGTGTAGGCAATGGGTGGCTGAGCGACGGAACCTCCTGCTTGGCCCGCCCTTTTCCTGGGCATTTTTTCCGGGCTTAGATGTTTGCGGTTCCGGGTTTGGGGGTTTCGGGTTTAGCTGTGGGTTGTTTACTGAATCTCTGGATGACCCCGAAGCTTGTGTCGTTCGTCCAAAACAAGACCAAAACCCTAAACCTTAGATAGTCACATCCTTAACAGCCTCAATTAGGCCTTCTAACCCCTAGGCCCCAGGCTCTAAACTCTAAACCCCAAACATAAATTACACGCGCACCTCGTCCTACACCTCTCTACCCTGCAGCAGCAATCCTATAGATGTCAGTTCCTCAGACTCACTCACATATACATGAACGAACACACACACACACACACACACACACTAGGTGCGCTCTTCACTGCCTTCGTCGCTGCGCCGCGAGCTGCCCCGGCCCCGGTGGCGCCCCACGCCACCACTGCGGCCTTGAGTAGCGTGGCCGAAAAGATACCCTGAACGGGATGGGTCTGAATTGCCAATAATTTGTTGAGTCAGTAATATAATAAAGAAGATCACTTACGATTATACGCAGAAAGTGGGGAGCCTGGGCATTGAGGCCTGGGTGTTGAAGCATGCTTCTTGCCCGATGCGTGTAGGCATGTGTTTTTGACAGACTCCAGCTTCCACAGGGTGCAGAGGCTGCCACACATCTGTTTTACCCCCACCTTCTAAACCGTGTGGCCATAATGCCTAGGACGAAATTCCGTAGACCATGAATCGCAGACACCTGAGGTGCCGTGACCCTGGTGGCCCCTGGTGCAGCTTATGCCGAGGCGCAGTAGCACAGCCTTACTTTCCTTCTGTCACCATCACGTTGCAATACCATGACGACCATGATCTGCAGCCGGAATCGGGACGCCAAATCCTCAAGACGCACCCCCAATACTAGCTGCCCTAAACCGTCAGAGGCCTCGCGGGCTGAACGCCAAGCTCTGAACTTTTTTGCCTCCGCTGTGGCAGGATGGTGCCGTGTGGATCCCTGCGCTCTCTGCCATCGGCGCTGGCTTCGCCATTGGCCTTGCCGCCATCGGCTCGGGCGTCGGCCAGGCTATCCGCATAGCTATAAGCTGGCTTACAAGCTCTGTAAGCTATGTAAGTTGTACAGGTAACTATCAGTATGATATGTTACCTTGCTGCAGTCAATGGGTTTGCACAACAGCCGCATAGCTCGGCTTGATATAAGGGCATCAATACTTCGAATAGGGTTTTGGGCTTATTATAGTAGAAACAGTAGATAAATAAGAAACCCTGAGGAATAGTATTGGTAAATACCTGGGCTTCTACATTACTTCCTACTTCCTTCCTCAGGGCATTGCCAGCGGACGTTGCATTGACGGCATCTCCCGCCAGCCGGAGGCCTGAGAAGCTGCTACAACCCCTTCCCTGTGTAAACTCTAGTAGAGTGTTGCAGCAAAGGGATTTACAAGGCTCCTTTAAAGGGTTCTATTCGGGTTGTTTAAGGGTTACTAATTTTAAATCTAGAAGCCGGAATAATTAATTACCAATGTGAAGCTGGCTTCGGGCTGCATAATACATGATTAAACTGTAATTATTCTCTTTTCTGATGCCAGAACTACGTAGGTATATCTACTGCCTTGGTTTTCAAACATTCCACTTCATCTCTCAACCCTAAACCCGAAACCCCCCTAAGCCCAAAGCCCGGCCCTAAACCCTAAGCCCTATCCATCGGAGGTCGCTGATGATCTGCGTGGCGTGCTGCTGCTGGGCAGAACCCCTAAATCAAAGGAACCCGACTTATATCCCCGCCTATAGCTACCCATGAGCCTCCCAGCAACAGCCTTTGGAAGGCCTGGGTCTCTTGTCCTTGGCCCCCCGGAGTTTGTTTTTACGAAAATTTGCAGCAAAATTTAGGGCTTAGGGTTTAAAACCCTCGAAGACCCTATAACCGTTCTTAAAGCTCACAAAAGCATGCAAGACCGCGGAAGAATAACGCCTCGAACCCTACTACCTAAACCCTTAATCCAAACCATAAACCCTAGACTTTGAAGCCCTAACCCGAAAGCCCCGATGCCTAAACCCTAAACGCTAAGACCTAAAACCGAGACCCTGCACCCCACCCATAGGCCCCTAAGAAGTTCTTTTTTGGGATTACCTTATAGGATTCTAAACATAAGCCACAAAAAGGAACTACTTAGGGGCCCATGGGCAAACCCTAAAACCCCAGCGAAGCTTCAGGCTCCTTTCCTTGGCCTTCATGGAGTCTTTGACCATCTACGGTCTCGTGATTGCTCTGGTGCGATCCTCAGCCCTTTTGGGGGCTTTATGGGATGTTATGAGCTTTGTAGGGCTTCTCCCTCTTGTCCTAGGCAGTATTCGGGAGACCCCTTAAAGGGGACCCTTCTGAACCCTACTTTTTGCTGTCTTAAAGGGGACCTTATTGAGAGGGTCTATATCCCCAAGGGTCCCCCTAATCCTAACTCCCATTTTGGGCTACTTAGGATTCATTCTCAGCCTCTTTGGGCTTCTGGGTTGTGTAATAAGCGGGCCTTCGGTGAGCTGCAGGTGGGTTTGCATTCTCACAGGTGCTCCTCTTCGCGAACCCACTGATCAAGTGAGCAAGATGCCGGCAACCTGGAGAGAAGCCTCCAAATATTTATTGGACCAGCCGCGGTTCTTGTTTTTATCTTGGGTAGATTGCTAACTGTACTGGTTTAGTTGTTTAGGGCCTATAACTCATCTTCCCTAGGGGCACAGGCTGGCAAAAAAGATAAAAGTCGAAGCGAGCTCGCGCTCAGAGAGAGATGGACTTGGACAAGCAGCTAAAAAGAAGAGACATGAGCCACGGGGTAAGTCTACTTGGGTTTTAGGGCTTGGGGTTTGTTTGACAGCTTCTGAGTCTGAATTTCGCCGACAGGAAACCCCGAATCACTAATCTGTCAGCACATACCGCAAGTGATCCGTATCTGCTCCCAATCCAGAAGCAGGTGCCTCCGGAACAAAGGCGTAGTTGTTTTGGTGCCGATGTCCACAACATGGATGGGCATCCATGGCCGATATACGTGTATAGGCCCCAAGACCGCAGTTGCCATACAGACACCGCTTGTGATGATAGTGATCACGACGATGATACTGGGCAATTGGTAATGTGGCGGCTCTTTTAGTAATTTGGGCGTCTTTAATGC